ATGGGCGACGATACTGACGAAGCACGCAAGTGGCGTGTGGGTTATAATTGGCTCCTTGCAACACGGCCGTAGGTCGCGAAGGGTTCCTATCATGAACAACCGCTTCTTCTATGCAGCCAATAGCAGTATGGTTGGCCATGGAGGAAGAGACACAACAACTGTGGCAGATTTGGCTGCAAGAGCGACGGCAACAAAACGTGACATGCGGCTGCGCCTACAGTGCGCTCAGTCGCACACACAAACTACGACAACAAGTGCGAGAAGGATCAGGCCAGTAGACTGGACTTCAATGCTGTCCATCATCTGTGATCAGTCCCTCAGGATAGACATCAGCTCCTTCCTACAAGTACACACTGCACCCAAACAAAAGCATCGACACGACACGATACGACACGACTCGCGTTACCTGTCCGTATGTCTGTCTGTCTGCCTGTCTATCTGTCTGCTGCGCCTACGCGTCAGATGTCCGCTGAATGAATGAACGCCTGTGCACAGCCAAACATTCTGACAGCCACACAAGCGGACCTACAAATGAACATACAAACAGATGAGCATACAAACGGACGGTGCTGTGCCCACCAGCCACCCGTTCGTTCGTGCTCTGCCCGTTTCTTTCCATCTCCTGTCAAATCGAATACCGCGTTTCGCAAAACACATACAAACCCGTGCAGCAGCGTCATCGACTCACTTCGCTTCAGTGACCGGTCACTACCTTCGCCATGGCCGCAGCAGCGTCATCGACTCGCTTCGCTTCAGTGACCGGTCACTACCCTCACCATGGCCGCTCCTGCCCCGACGGCGCTGACGCTGTGGGCGACGCGCGCCGCGACGGCCGCTGTGCTGTCCTCGGGCTGCGACGCCATCGACGCGCTGCTCGACGGCGGCTTCCGCTCCGGTCTGCTGACGGAACTCTGCGGCGCCGCGGCGGCGGGCAAGACGCAACTGTGTCTCCAGTTGTTACTTCAGTGCTGTCTGCCGCGCGCGCTCGGGGGGCTGCAGGGCACTGCGTGTTACATTGGCACCGAAGGCGCGCTGTCGATCAAGCGACTGCACGCGCTCGCGCACGTCTATGCACGACGCTACGACCACACGACTGGACTGGCGGTCGGCGGGAAACGGAAACGCGGTGAAGTAGCGCCAGCGGCCACGGCCAGCGACTTCCTGGACGGCATTTTCGTCGAGCAACTTCACGCGGTGGACGACCTCTTGCGTCTAGTGGTCAGTTCATCCGTCTGTCGGTCTGTCTGTCTGTCTGTCTGTCTGCCTGTCTGCCTGTCTGTCGTCACTGTACATGTACACATACACTTACACACACACACACGAAAAAACAGAACCATCGAACGACTGGACAAGGGCGGAATGATGACGTGTATCGGCACTGACTCGCTGCGTAATCATGTGGTGCTCTGATCTGTTCGTCTGACTCCATGCGGCGACAACGCGACACCTGACGCCGAACGCGCCACAGCAGACGAGACTGCCCGCGCTGCTCGCGGAACAAAACACCAAACTCGTTGTGCTCGACTCGGTCGCGGCCGTCTTTCGTCTCGAGTCCACGTCGTCTGTCAAGGTACATGCACCTCATGGCTACATGTGTGGGGGTGCGGGGGTGTCTGTCGCGTCCCACGTTGCGGTCGTCGCGCCTATTGTCTCCTCGGCCCGCAAGGGATCAGCTGTTTGTCTTTACTTGTACTTGTACTTGTACTTGTACTTGTACTTGCACCTGTACTCGTACTTGTACTTGTACTTGTACTTGTACCTGTTTGTCTGAACCTGTTTGCAGGTTGTACTTGTGAGTACGGTATCCCGCACTTAACTTGTTGTTGTCGCGTGTGGCAGGACGCCGCCGAGCGCGCCCAGACGATGTTCCACTTGGCCAACTGCATGCGCATTCTCAGCGACCAGTACGGCGTCGTGTTCGTGCTGACCAACCAAGTGACGGGCGACTTTGACGCTGCTCGGTCGACGCCGCGTGGCAACGGTCTGCGTCCAGCGCTGGGGCTCTCGTGGTCGCACTGCATCAACCAGCGGTACGCGCTGATTTCTCGTTGCTTGACGGAGGGTGTCGTTTTGTGACTCATGCAGTGGCCATTCATTGCGTGCAGGCTGATGATTACGAGGAACACGGACTCGACGGACCGAGAGCTCGAGGTGGTTTTCTCGCCGCACTTAGCAGCAGGTACCTGCGTCTTCCAGGTCACGACTGACGGCGTCCGACCTGTAGACCGAGACTGATCGATGCATTGAAGTCGTCGCGACGAACGTGATGGCATCAGAAAATCGTCGCGAGTAGCAGAAACGTGCTTGAAGTGGCGCGATGGACGAGATCGCGATGAGGAGCCTTTGCTTCGGCTTGGTCTCACTATCGCCGTTCATCGTCGACATGGCCGTGTGGCCGCCGATCTTTCTTCTCTTGCTCAAGTGGGACTGGCAAACCTCCGTCAACAGCTATTGCGCGTGAGCTTGAGAAGGCGCATTACCGATTTACCCGTTGCAGATCAAGACGCACCCGCAGTCGTCGTCGAGCAGCCCCAGTCGACGTTCCCACGACATCCATCGCATACAGTATGGTCTCCTCCAGGCGCATGTGCCACGCCGTCGTGTCTTTGCCCACCCGACACAGCGCCAGCATCAACACGTGCGAGATCCGCAGTGGCATGTCCGTGCAGGTAAAGTCCATCGCTTTTCTTCGCTACTGTTCATCTCTCTCGACGTCCCATGTTGACACTCGAATGGTCGTTGTTTGTCTCTTGCTTTGCTGCTTTGCCCACTTGATCAGGACCTGAAGTACTTGACAGCGCAGCGCCAGCGTCTCGAGTTCTGGAGTCGCATGTCGGCGGCACGTCGGGTGTCGGTAGCTACGGACGTTGCGGACGCATCGTCTCCAACGCCGACGTGCGAGTCGTCACTGTCTGCGTCGTCATCGCCACCGTATTACAGTGACGGGTCGTGCTACTCGGGGACCTACAGCCACGCACCTCTTGTCAGTCAACACGGACACGCGTCCGACACGATATATGTCACGCACGGCGGACAAGTCGTTTCGTTGCTGGCAGGCGTTGTGAACGCGCCGCAAGTGGACTTTGCACGGGACCATTGATGCAGCCGTCACGAGAACGCGATCAGAGAGGAGCCGTATAGTATCCATCTCGATGCGCATGGACGTCTCAAGTGCGGTGGAACGCACTGCGTTAGAGCGAAAGAGCGCAAGTCTGGGAAACAATCGATGCGTCTGTGCTGTAGCGTGTGAGTTTGAATGAAAAGATGTTGGGCGTCGCTCCGTTCGAAAGGACCGTTGATGAAGTTGCAAGGACGATCGGCAGTGCTGTTGCTGCATCGTCCGGAGCTCTGGTGCGAAAAGAGTGTCGTCCGTGTGCCATTGTCATGCAGTGTGTGTCCGTCGCAGGGACTGCACTCGATTCTCGATGGTATGTACCGTCAGACTTCGTCGGTCCAGTTGGCCCCCTGCATGACCACATGTTTCGTGCCCACTTTGCTTGTGGATCGGTGCAGATTTTCTCGTCCTTTGGTCATGTGGTTGAGCCACTTGTTGTGCCCCTTCGATCCGTCGATGGGTTATTCGATACCACATCAACTTCTTCACACTCCTTTCAGCTGTCTTTGCACCGCCAAATGGCATTTCCAGATACGCAGTCGCTCAGCTCTCTTCGTCCTTTTTCGAGAGAGAGCGCTGTACAACGCTCTCCTCGAGCTGAGGGAAGTACGTACACGATGTGAGTCCATGAACAAATGGTGAGCGCTGACGCGTGCCGACGCAAATGATTAGCGTCGTTTACGCATGTTCGGAGTGCCGCACTTCCAAGTCGGATGCCGAAGTGTCCATGCGATGCGACGATCAGGTGCAAAAAGACACGAAGTCATGCAAAACAAGTGACTGCCACAGCGTCGTCAGCATTTTGTTCTTGACAAGGAGTTAGGCCAATCGAGTCACCAGCGACTACCTTCGACCACATATGATGGTCGTGTTATACTTGCTTACCGATGCCACGAAGGAGGGATTCGCCTGACACACGACAAAGTGATGACAGAAGCAGCAGAAACGGACGTCGGATCGGTGATGAGCTTCTTTTGTAAAGTCTGCCGTTAAGTCGTGCGTGTCGAGGAGGCAAATGATCAGCGATAGCTCAATGGTTCGGCCTCTCAACTCTGTCCTTGACCATAGCCTCTTTCCTCTCGATCCGATGCGGCAAAGATCGATAGGACAAGAGCAGTCTGAGCTCGTGCACAGTTGCAACAGCAAAACTCGGCAAACAATAGGGACGACAGCGGATACGCAACGATGCGATCATCGGTCGCCACGTCTGCCATGTCCTACATCCTGTCAATTGTTGCTAAGCGGTCAGTGCAATAGTACGCAAAGACTGAGGCTGGCCGACAATTTGGCTCAGCGGATATGGACCAGATAGAAACTTGATCATGAGTCGCTGTTATTGATGGAGTGTGCGTGGTGCACGCCCGGGTGTTAGATGTTCAGCAGTACCGACCTCGCTTCGCGTCAACACTTGATCGTTCGAGATGATTACGCTAGTATAGTACAGGACGTCCTGATCGTCAAAGGGCACGGATCAACACGTGTAGAATGCAGTAGCCGGACGTGGCTGAACCTTCATCGAAGTGAGCTAATGCGTGCTACTGCTTCTGCAGGAGCCAACAGATCGATCTCATAGCGCATAGAAAACGACGTCGACTACTTCAAGTAGCGGTATGACGCATGAATGTGCATGCGCTTGTTGTTCACAGCTTAACCGAAAAGATGTAATGACACGAGGGCCATTCAGACCAGACCCAAAGCCATTCCAAAAGTGTGTGAACCTCCTTCGGTCGCAGTCTATATCTTCTGGTCGAGACAGTCTCGACCAAGAGATATAGTTATATGCGACAGACGCCTACGCGGCTCAATCGATGTACCGCCTTAAGGCCAAGCGATCTCCTTTATGGAACCGGTCAGCGGAACATCTGTCATGCCCTCATACTAGATGCTCGGACCCGGCGATGCCCTCGGTAAGCACATATTCTTGAATTGCCCTGAAGCACAGCATTGGTGGAACAACCTCGTTGCGATGTGGACAAAGCTTGATATTAATTAGGGTGCTGAAGCTGGTGTAACGGGGCAGCCCGTTACATGGAATTGTCACTTTAAGGAAAGTGACAATAACGAATATGAAGTTGAATATTGTTGAACAATATCACCAAAGTGGTGATATTGAAGGGTCGACCAAAGAGTCTGTTCATTGGTTGATATCTTGATGATATCGACCCACCAATCGCCGCAAGACGCGCGCAATGAGTGGTGACGAGACGTCACCATACACTCAGTTATATTAGCATAATTAAGTTAAGTCAAACAGAGAGACAGTAGTTAAAAGACTTGATTATATTAATATAACAGTTCTGCTTTTACCTTACCTACGCTTCCTCGCTTGCCTTGTGTACGTCTGTCGGGGCACCAATACCCTTGCGTTAAGTTCACACAAGAATGCTCCCCGTTACAGCTATCACATGAATATATAGCATGCGGTTGCATAACGCTCCTAAGGCGGCCCGGATCGCTGTAATGGACTTCTTAAATGATGAGACTGAAGTTTCCGATAAGCAACGGCACCTTTTTGACAGTATGACGCTGATCAGGAGAACACAAGTTGCTGAATCGCTTCACGGTCTCTGGATTAAGCAGCTACGCCGGATAGATGATCCACAGCGTAGTACTGCTTCCACGAAAGTGACGATTGCCACCACATAGCAATGAGTACTACTGCGTATTCGATCACTTGCTTCATCCCGCTTACAGAATAATGAAGGGGAATGTAACGGGGTTACACGTCGACTGGTAGTCGACAATAGGTGTGGCGCACACAGGGGATGGGATCCCCTTTTAAAGTGATATGAGAACACAGTATCCATTGTTGAAGACTGATGTCTGTCAACCATTGATTACGAGATCTTTTGAGAGGTTTGTTTAGGACATTAGCGAGTAGGTTAATTACGTTGTTCTAAGGTGTTCTTTTAGGTTAAAAGAAGAAATAAAATTCAGTTCCCATTTTGATCCGATAGACACGTGCCTCTTTGAGGCATCTCGTGATCATTGAGGAGATAGCAACGCCTTGCTAAGGCAGCTACTCCTTGTGCACTCTGTGCGTCGATTCTCTGAATCGTTGGGTCCCCCTGGAACAGGGACCGTAAGCTCTCTGAGCTCGTTGACTCTTTGAGTCGAGTTCTTTAAACCAAACCTTAGCTATCTGAGCTGTTGACTCTTTGAGTCGGGTTCAATGAACCACAACTTGCTCGTTGAGCGTTTAAGTCTACCTCTGACTGAAGGAGCTGTGTAGCTCCGCTACACTTGTACCACTAGGAGTCAATATACGCCCGAGTTGTTACGACTGATCCTCTGTGAGGATGGAGCAATCCACACCCCTCTCTGAGGCCCAAAAGGTCGCGCTTGATAAGCTGACCGCGGCCGTAGGTTCAGAGTATGTGAAGTTTCTAGCTGCACAAGGTTTAGATGTGCTTAATGCATGAGTCTAGACCTGCATGCAGAATGAGACGGTCCTTTTAGGGCAGGTTCAAAACCAAATGGCGTCTGCTATGCCAACACGCTACGTGGCAATGCCACCAGAAGAGGCTAGCCTCGTCCCTTTTGGGTGGACGTTGAACTTTACTCCGGGAAGGAGGGGGAAAACCTGACCCTCTGGATCCGTGAGATTGAGTTGGCCATGAGCTCTGGACTTATCTCACTTACGTAGAAGCGGGTCTCGCTGGCTATCTCCAAGCTCGATGGAAGAGCTAGAGAGTGGGCTCAGACGTGTGGCACGTCGGTCGACTTGGCGTTTCCCACATGGAATTCGCTCAAGTTAGACCTATTGCGAGTTTCTCGCCGCCTAACCAGGCGCATTGCGTGCGCTCACGCTTCTTGTCTCCTCGTCATGGTAAGAATGAGTTAACGGACTATGCCCAAGAGTTGAGAACTCTGATGGCTACTATGCAGTCTGACCCTCTCTCTGAGACAGTCTGTGTGACTGTCTTCATGGAAGGTCTTCGCAATAGCGTTGCCATGACCGAGGTTTTTTAAGTCCATCCCTCTACTTTTGAGGAGGCTGTTAGCATCGCTCAAAATGCTGAGCACAACTTCAAGTCGGCCAGACTTAATTTAAATGGGTTCAATCCAAGCTTTGCGAGGGCAACCTCTGCAAGCACCTCGGATCACTGTAAGCCAGAAC